TTTTTTTTTTTTTTTTTTTTGTACTGGGGATCAAACTCCGGACCTTATGCTTGGGAAGCAGGAGGCAGAACCACTGAGCTAAATCCCCGGCCCTCTTCCTGAACTTTTAGGCAGATACAAAATAAAAGAGCCTCATCCCCCTAAGCTACCCTGAGATCTTAGGATCTGCATTTGAGAAGTGGTGTTTTTTGATTGACCCGAGATACTCATGCAGACTGGACATGCAGAAGGGAGAAAGGGTGGGCTGCAGCTCTCCACCAGTGCTGTGTGACCTACTGCTTCAACCTGTGACCCTGTTCCAGCTAGCACCCCCCCACCCAACGAGATGGAAAAGCCTATGGGAAGTTTGGAAGGGGGAAGGGATGGCTCTGTACAGGGTCCTAGTGTGCCTTTTGTGTTCCTCCATGTCAGGCTATGTCCCAGAGAAAACCCAACACTCTGTTAGCCTCTAACATCTAGCATCCCACTCCCTCCTCGACCTCCGCATTCCTCCTGCTGGAGGCTCCCACTGTCTGATTGTCCCTCCCTGCTAACAGGGGCACAATCCCAAATAGTGAACTGATCAGGCACTGCACTTCCCCTGTTCCCCATTCCTCCAGTATTAAATGACCAAGACCATGTGCCCATCAGTGCTAGGGGGTCTGACAAGTCTCCTTGCAGACTGGGACTCTGGAACTCTGCTTTTTTTCCCTTTGAGATGCCTTAGCATTTGACAGAGATCTGAAGCACAGGCTGGGATGTGGGCCTGGCCTGTGTATGTAGAGTTTACTGAGAAGCTTCTGTCAAGAGCTGAGGAAAGATTAAACCACTTGGGCTATGTTACTTAAGCTTCTTCATAAATAAGCTTCATAAATAAGCTAGGACTTCTTCCTCCTGTTGCTCCTTATGCTCTGATATCCTGATATGCTGATCCCTCAGTACCTCAAAATCCATGGCATCTCCTTTTGAGGACACAGGTAGAGGGATTGGCCTGCCTGACCACTTTCAGCCCTAAGTTTGAGAAGAGGGCCACAGGCTTGAGTGTGGAGCACATAAAAGAACGGGAAACATATTATCCCTATTCTGCAGCAGGACATCCAGCATCAAGTGGAATTACGTGGTACAGTCCGTAGACAGGAAGACCCAGAGAGAAAGAACAATGGCCACATCATGACCTGGCCTGAGTCTGATGTGGGCCTGAAGGGAACTAAGTATTATGACAACCCTAGCTGGTCTCCAGCCTGTTTTGTTGTTGTTGTTTGTTTTCCTGAGACAGGGTCTCAGTATGTAGTCCAAGCTGGGCTTGAACTTACTATGTGTGTAGCGCAGGCTGTCCTTAAACTCATGGTGATTCTCCTGCCTCAACCTCCCGTGTGCTGTGAATATAACGTGTGCTACAATACCTGGCTTCCAGCCTGTTTTCTGTCATCTGTCTCACATACCCTCTAAACTTGTTCTGCAGAAGTGTCGTTCTGATCTGTGTGACAGTCTCCTCCCCCTGAGGACAGCAACCCTGTAAACACACTCTCTGATTGAGCCAGCTGGTTCCAGCTGGTTCACCTTCCTCTGAACCCTCTGGCAGTTTTCTGTTTTAGGGTATAAATTGAGATAAGGAGAAGTGAAGGTGAGGCATAATTGGTTTTCACAGGCAATTTTTTTTCCAGGTCTCCAAGCTTTCAGTTCGCAAGGCCTGACCCCTCCCTTCCCTTCTGTCACCACAAACCAGAATCTGACTTCTTTTCCAACTACTTGGCCATCTGAGGTCTTGCCTTCTCAATTCATCCACATTATTATTTGTTTTGAGACAGAATCTTGTTCTGTACTTCAGCCTGGCCTCTAACTTGCAGTGATCCTCCTGCCTCAGCTTCCCAAATCTTGGGATTATAGGTGTGCACCACTGTGCCCAGGGGTCTACATTATTGTTGTTATTATTATTTTTTTTTTTTTTTTAGTTTTTTGAGACAGAGTCTTGTTCTGTAGTCCAGGCTGGTCTTGAACTCCTCACTATGTAGCTCAGGCTAGTCTCATATGCATAGCAGTCTTCCTGCCTCAGCCTCTCGAGTGCTAGGATTACAGGCATCACTATGCCTGGTTTATATTTTTAAATTTTTTTGCTCATCATTTTTGTGTCTTATCTTTCCAGTTAGGATGCAAGTGATTTAAAAGCACCTCCCCCAACTTTATTGCTGGGCCCCCAGCTTCCAGCCCACGTAAGGAGTTTGGAACTGACACAAGTAAATATTAGCATTTTGGTGTAAGAACCAAGGAAGTCCTGGGCAAGGAGTTTGAGAGGTAGAGGGGCGCAGTGGAACTCTTCGGAGGCTCCGCCACTGCTCTTGGGACTCTGAGCTAGCCCCGCCTGCACCAGAGAGTCCTTTCAGCCCTTCAGCACTTTTGCTTTCTCCTTCCTCAAATTGTGGCAGAGTAAAAGGTGGCTAGGGTTCAACAGGAAAGGGAAAACTGCCTCAGGATAAATTGAAGAGGGCTCCCCAGAAAATAGGGCTTGATAATAAAGTTGGGAGAAGAGATGGGGTGTGCTGAAGAGATGAGGGTGAGGACAACCTGGCAGGAGAACACATCTATATTACAGAGGAAGGCAAAGGGCAGGGCAGTGAGTAGTGAATGTGTGCACTCTGAGTACCTGTGTGCACTCTCCCCAGTTTCCCAGGATTCTGAGGATAATAAGAAAATGAGGGCTGGGAAGGGAACAGAGCATTTTTCTATACTGGGCCAAAGTCAGCCAGATGGCTGGGAATCACTGTTGAACAAAAGGCGGCAAATGGGCATCTGGAACTTTTTTTTTTTGGTATTTAAATGAATAGAATCATATTAAACATTCATTGGACACCATTTATGTGGATGTAACTAGGAAATACAGACATAAACAGAGGGAATTGTGTTTCCAGACAACTTAGCACTAATATATGTCCATCCAACAAACTCTTGAAATATTAAATTTATTTATTTATTTTGGTTTTTTTGAGATAGCGTCTCACTATGTAGTTGAGACTGAACTGGAACTCACTATGTAGCCCAGGTTGATCTTGAATTCACCGCAATCCTCCTGCCTCAGCCTCCCAAGTGCTGGGATTACAGGCATGTGCCACCACGCCCAGCTTATTAAATTTATTTTTAATTGATACACAAAGACAAAAAATGTACATAATGAGGTACCATGTAATGTTTTAATAAATGGGCACATTGTATAATTAGGTTAAAGATATCTATCTCCTCAAATATTTTTCACTTTGTTTTAGTCAGGGTTTACAAGGGAATAGATTTAATACAGGACACAAAGTTTATAAGATTATAAGTTTATAAGAATATTCACCCAGTGTGATGGTGTTCACTGGAACATTGGGTAGCGTAAAGTTGTAAACTATTCAAAGTCCATCAGGAGAAGGTTAAATAAAGAAAATGTGGTCTATGTAAAAAAAAAAAAAAAAAAAAAAGAATATTCACCCAAAAAGTCAAATGCAGAGGAGTGCAAGAGATCTATCTGTGCACTAGAGACCTGAAAAATCCAGCCAAGGGCCTGGATCCCACAGCAATGACCCTCACAAGTCCAGCTGAAGGCCTAGAGCCCAAGGCAATGTCCTCCATGAATCTAGCCAGATGCCTAGAGCCCAGGGCAATCTCTCATATGAGTTAGAATAGAGGATCTACACCTGCAAGGCCCAAAGGCCAGTGATGGAAGCTAGAAAGTCTGCACTGGCAGGGTGAAGGATCTGTGCCACCAGGCTGAGGGATCTGCACTGGAGCCAGGAAGTGATGCTCAAGGTGAAGATCAGGGTTCCCTTGACAGGAACAGCAGCTATTCCCAGCAACAGTGAATATCTGAGTTCCTCTGACAGGGAAACAGCCAAGGCAAGCGTTTCCTAAATAAATAAATAAATAAATATCAACAGCAATGATCTTCCCCTCCAGTTTTTGTTGTTTTGTTTGTTTGTTTGTTTCTGGTACCAGGGATTGAACTCAGGACCTTGCATTTGCAAGGCAGGAAC